GTTAAATCAAAACTAAAATTATGAAATTTGTACGAACCTCAGAAAAATGATTTTACCCAGATGACAGTACACATATAATTCCAGAATAGAACAATCAAAGGATATAAAGCGATATCGAACATGGACAATGAACTCAACTTCTGGTATTATTTCATGATCTTCGCCAGCAACGGACTTTTACATTTTACCATCGAAGATTTCCAGCTTCCTGTGCCATACAGACGCAGTATAGATATAAATACAGGCCTGGAGGGATGTGTGAACAGGACATTGCCTGGAAATTGGTGTCTCGCTGCTGAAAGATTCGTGCAGTCTCCGTACCATCTCTCGGAATCCACCACAAAGTTGAGTCTCTGAAATGAAGAGGTTTCTACGTGACGAGCATCATGAAGACTCGGTATAAGGAAAGAGACACTCTAGAAAGTCTTAAACGAGAGTTTAAATTATGGTTTCATCCTAAACGATGTGCCTTAAGTATATAACGCAGAAAGGAGTGCATAAGTTTGGTCTACACAGAGATTCCAAATGCGCTGTTTGCGATCTGTAGTCCGTTATCGGTATATTAATACTCTTTAGAATAAATAAGAATTGTGAGGGCAGTGGTATGGGTCTATTCTCGAACCGATTATCTGTGTTTAAGAATCAGAACAAATAGAATTCAACGTGAAAAATTAAAGTTCCAAATTCACGTCTATAAGACGCCTCGAATATGTAAGTTCAACGCTGAGGACCTCCAAACGAGAGTTATAAAGAAATAAGAAATATATTGGTATGTTTGGTGGTTCGGGGGGTGAAGAGGATGTCTCTGTAGCAGCTCCAGTGGTCCGCTGCCGCGCAGTCTGGTCACCTTGGCAACAACGGGGCAGGAGGCTGGGGACACTGATGCCAACATGGCGGCGCAGGTAGTTCCTAATCCTTTCCGCAGCTTCTCAACCCACCCGTACAACATCGCAGAGACCGATTTCTTTTTTACGTCGCTTCCATTACCCCATTTCGTGTTTAAATAACTTAAATAAATGTATGAGATCACAATGGTGTATGTTACCTCTATCAACGCTTGAAACAAAAGACAGATTTTCATGAAATTTTGTCCAACGTTTAAGATGACAGCATTTTAGGATGTTGCGCCTTGGAGTCTCCTATAAGTATATTGGCGTTTGAGACGTGCGTACTGTCTCCACACTGTTTGTAAGTCAACAATTACAAATATTTCATAGTTGCGAATACTTGATCTGTAAGCTACTTTGCCTAAGTTATTCTAGGCGGTAATGATGATGATGATAATTAGGATAATGATAATAATAATAATAATAACAATAACATCAACAACTCCAAGACTCGATCTGTTTATTTTTCCACGAAACAAACATTTATGACGCGAGAAAAATTCAGTCCTGTGGTCATCTACACACGAATCCAGTGGGCTAACCTACGAGCAAAACTGGGTTCAAATCCTGCTCCAGGCATACGTCAGTGGCTGTTGTATTACACGGACACAAAGGAGTGCTAACAAAAGACGAAATTTTTTTTCGAAAAGTGTGTCAGAAATTTTTTTCCAGTAAGTCTTTTATACAAGCACGTGCTCACACACTTTCCTTGCTGAGCTGTTTTCTTAACAAAAACTGCTCTTTATAGCAATTTACACCAAGATATGTTGATACTGTAAGAGCAAACATTCAGAAACACAAACAAGTTTAATAGACTGATAACAAAATTCTAAGGCGATATTCATCTCATCGCTAGACAAGCGTGTTAAATTCCCCTAAAACTAATAATGATTCGTGAAAGTTGCAGAAGTAATTCATGCAATTATTTAATTCCTCGCTTACTAAAGAAATAAATGTGACTTCTTGTATTCGTCAGTAGCGTATAACATAGAAAAAGAAACAACTAAAATATATAAATAAAATTATAACAACTCTTCTAAAAACATAGTAAACTGCGCAAGAATTATTTTACAACACCAATAAAGAAAGAGAAAAGAAGAGTTATTTAATAAAGGCATTGGACGTGACAGACACCAAAACTCTACATTCTCTCTGGATGGAGCTGGGTCCGCACATTGTTTGTAAATGTAGTTCTTCTGTACCAATCAATCCAGGGCAAAGTGTCAGTGTGCTGTCAATAAATAGAAATGGTTCATTGTGATAGCTTGGTCTTTGATGAATGTGGCACTCTGTGACCACTACAGTCATTATATGGGACACAGAATTAGCATTATCAGATTCAAACCCGGTTGCATTGCCACTAAGAGAACCAAACGTTTGTTGCAGGAATTTTTCTAATAAACGTTGTACTGTGCAACAGACCTACGCTGTCCAATGAGTTAATTATTTATTGTCAGCTCTTAAAATGATTACAAGTACAGTGAAACCGAAGCAGTTTTGCGAGATATATAGGGAAATCATACACTATATCATGAGTCTGTTTTTATTATTATTTAGTGTTCTGTCTGATGACAGGTCCATATGAACAGGATCCTTCCATCATTTTCTCGGTCTGGGACCTGTTCATATACGTTCTTGGCAGATGATCCAGAAGTGGTTTGCCATTGCCTTCTTCTGTGTGTGAATGGAGTAATTGTTGGGATGCCACGGAGAAACCGGGGAAGCCCCCCGGAGGAAAACTCCGTGTTGCCTAGACCACGGCCTTGCCCAACACAAGTTATAAATTCGGGCACCGCCGGGAATTCAGTGTCATTCATATACGAATTTGTCATATTACTGAAAGCCCTTTTCTTGTACTGTACCTCCTCTTAGGATCGCAGATATATTGCGCCCAGTAACAACACAGCCGCTCTGTTTTGATCTTTCTCTTATCGCCACAAGTAAGTAAATTAACAGGCTGTGTAGGTAGCAGATTTTGCTCCAGCTCGCATCCTTGTTCTTGCATCCTACCCTTCATCCGATCTGCCAGATGGTGTAATCACAACAACAGTACAGCGTCTGGGTATGACAGAAACTGCTATAATGGCACGTGGAAGAAATCTCGATCAAACATCCGGGTATGTCGCTGCTTCGTGCGCGTGACTTATCCCGTGATTGATGAAAACACTCCGTAAATGATCTGTGTAGCGCACCACACAGCTTGAAAATGTAGTTCCTATACACTTAACACCAATTCGCGAACAATTCCAACTAAAAACGGGTCTGTATCAGGGAGACTAACTAATTAAGTGTTCGTTGTTGGTCTTCTGGGTTGTAACGACGTGTGGTGATACTGTCTTCATCTTCAGGGCTGAATGACATTTTGTGTTCCATAAAGGCGGGGAATTTATTGACAACATAAGCGATTGTTAGCTAATCAACAAATATTATGCTCCATGAAGCTAGTTATAGCACATGTAGCCACTAATAATTATCGAAAACAGATCAGTGGCCACATCGCAATAAGCATTGTTTTATTAATTAATCTCTTTTCTGTTGAAGTATCCACATACGAATACAGTAATCTACATCACAGGAAGAAAGTAGTGGGTTTCGTATTCGCCATTTGAGCAAGCCGGTCTGAAGTAATTTCAAAGACAAAGGCCAACCAGAACAACCGTCACAAACCTTCTAATGTTATCAGCACGCTTACAAAGTTCTCTCACATCATAAACACAAAGAACCAGCCTCTAATGTAATTACCAGAAATAAAATGAATAGAACAGTTACATGGGCGCCTTACAGATATTTCTCACCATTTGATCCGAGATTTTAATTTAAGTTAAGGGATATTTATCGTTTCCCCTTAGGTAAGTATGTGAATATATCATTACAAGTACAGTAGATGAAATTATCAAGATTCTATTTTCATAATAAATCTCTTGTCCATCAGAGTATTCTGGATAACCTCAGTAGTTATTACAACGTCGTCGAACAGCACACGGTTAAACTCGGGTGTTGTGTACCGGCGCTCAAAGCAGAGACAAGAAATCCAGAGTACCGAATCTGGACGACGGTGATTGCTGTTAATTCTGACGGAATTGCCAGCTGAGTTACGTTTGGCACGAAGTATTGATTTCAACTGTACTGACTGCATTCAATTGAATAAAATACTCGACACGTTTTACTGTCGCACATTAAACACTTACTGCATCACACAAGTTGAGGTGTAGGAAAAGAAAACGTCTAACGCCGTTGTCCCGTTAACTCTTTCAAGTCGAATGGAAACTGCAAGTAACAGTTACTTTAACGGTCAGTAACACTGCGTTCTGTACAAACAAGTTTCGTACAATTATCATCTTAAACAGAGACTGTTTTCTTAAACGGCGTTAACCAATCGATCTTTCTAACGGTGGAGTGTTCGATTTCTTTGCGGTACGGACCAAATTCTTTTTAGAGGAGTTTTGACAGTGAAGGGTCTGTGTGACTTAGAAGTCAAAATGATATATTTTTGTCCTTTTAATTGCGCTCTGTGTATTTTTCATCTCGAGACTTAACAATAAGATGCAGGACTTAAAAAGCACTGAGTGCAAGAAATAATGTCAAATATTTACGATATTACTTACGATATGCTTGTCAAAGGGAATTATTCTGAAACTAAGGAAATTTTGCAAATAGCAATATCTGATGCATAACAAGTGTTTCACCGAGGTATCATAGTTATCAGCTGGAGGCATTTTAAAGAAACACTGAATTTTCTGCATGTCTACTCTTCCAAATTTTAACGCACATACATAGGCCCATTTACATAAAAAACTTCCGTCAATGCATCAAACTAATAATGCATGCATGGATTCATAAATTAATACATTACTCACATACGTTTAAGTATAAAAGACACACATTCATAATACTGTTGTCAATGTCAATTTATAGTTAGGTAAGGTGATTACTCATTACACAATTTAATTTTGTTGCAACAAATAATTTATGGAAAACTTCCAAATTACGAATTACTTTCGCTTTTAAAACAAGGTTAAAGTATTGTTTTATCCCGCAAAAGAGAGCTTAAGTTAGAAACGAACTTGAGCTACTTTCGTTCTCACATAAACTAAAGCGAATCAGAAAAAAAGTTCCCTTTACTGCACTGCTTTAAAACGTATGCTTAAGGTCATGGAAACTCTTAGGGGAGACCACGAAGTGTAAATCACGGCAGTTAACAACTCCTTGTTTCAGTTAACTGCATCTTTGTTCCTTCAGAAGCAGCCATTCCGAACATGCTCATTGCATTTTCATTACATCTTATCGACGCAAAGTAATTGCATTTTCATATATTATTTTCCGTCCGGTCGCTTCTTACTGCTTTTACAGCTTTACTTTCATCATCTTGCCAACTTTGTCAATTTAACGGAGTGGCAATAACCACGCAACAAACGTGATGATCACGAATGCAGAATTGAATGTAAAATAGAACTTTCTAGCATTCGTTAAACTCTTAGATCTGTTAGTCTAAGTCCAGTCTCATGATTTTCCCTAGAAATCTTCTCTTCAGCACAATGAAGGGTCCAGCCGGCCTCCTATCCGATACGTACCCAACTTGTTTCCTTAGGGGTAAAGCAGACAGGGCATGAATATACCCAGTCACTTTCATATACTGCCAAAGTTAAGAACTCTTATAAGAGGCTCAAAGGCAAAGAGTTCCAGTTATTCTAGATTTAGGCGCCGGAAGATGGATAAAAGGTCTAATTTACTCTCCGGTTGTCTTAATCCTGTAGCAAAAACGCGGAGTATCATGCAGTTAAGAAGCTGAGTGGCCCTAAAATCATTTGGCCCGTGACTGCAAACAAAATTCCAACAAACTGCACATCGTAGTAGTAACGAGTTACCAACTAAAATATGCAATCAACGAGCGTGGGAGGTATAACAGAGAAACGTGGAAAGTAATTAATCACTCTTTTTCTTTAATGGATGTCTGGACTACAAAGCGCTTCCCCTGGAAGTGGCGTTCGAGTATCCGGACTTTAAATGCAAAATTACGATTACCTTCAAAAGTGACGGTGATGTGTTAGGCCAGGCGCACGAAAAACATCGTCCGTGAATCTCACATCCTTTTTCCACGAACTTGTAATGGTTTCCTTTTAAAATATGCTCGTATAAACACCTGAATATTTTTAAGCATTAAAGAGAAGTTTTTCCGAATCTGTTTTACTTCGAGTTTTCTGAGTTTATACTGTCACTTTGCAAAGTGAGAAGCAAAATTAAGGATTCATTTAATTTAGTCCTGTGTGCATACCCGCCCATCAAAACAGCAGGTGGTATTAAAATTGGATTGTGGTTACCTCAACCAGGGTGCCCAACAGATAGACCATCTATCCTCTTCCCTCCATTTTACATGAAGAAGGAAGTAGAATTCAGCTTTCGAAACCTTGTAGTTTTTTAATGTTATAATTTAGACGACGGACAAAGCTCCAAAGTACAATCTTAATTATGAATTTTCGGGTTTCATAAAAGGCGGGAAATTTCATGACTATCTTAATAACTATCAGCTTATAGAGAATTTCGCGCCATGGAGTGAATCAGTTTTCGATAGAGATTGAGCAATGTATCTCGGTGTTTTGCAACTACAATTTAGACAAACAGGCTTGAGAAGGAATTTGCTCAAATACAAAGTTTCTTATCCACAAGTCTTTCTCGTTCTGCATATAGAAAGTCATTAGTGTATAATAGCAATAATCACATATTTCCACAGATATGATCACATTAAACACATAATTATGCGGTTTCTGCACTCCATATATGAAATAAGCCCATAATGAGAAGTCATGGTCATATTTCTTTTAAGCAGTGATTATTCATAAGAGAGCCTCACTTTGTTTGAATAAACAAGGTTTTACGCTTCACACTAATTCACTCTGTTGCTATAAATATTCAATACTCTTTCTACACGATACGCGTAGTTTATCCAGTCAGATCTTTCAGACCAGGATTCTCGTTTTATACGTCGTCTTACATTGAAACATGTACAAAATGACATTAAACTGCAACTGACGTTTCATTGTGCACTAACAAAATTCTATGCAGATTCAGACCGTTCCACTACCTCCAACTGTGCATCCTGAAAATGTCCTTATAAGTCAAGAATAAGTAGTTCAAACATACATTTTATTGGCTGACAGCTCAACTGCACTGGATATCGAAGATTGTTGCTGAATGTAATAACAATTTATATCCAAGCTTAAAAGCATACAGAAGTGTACATCACTTCGAGAGACCATGAAGTTTACAAATGCCGTATTTGAAATAGGTTATATGTTAATAGAAGAAATTATATACTCAGGAAAAGTAATTCAAACCCAGGACCACCAGCATAGAAAACAGATTACTAACCACTTGGCCATGGATCCCTTCGAGACATGGCTGAAGAATGTATCATAAAACATTTTGTCGTATGTCAAAGATCACACAAAATTTGCTGAAACACACTTAGTGCAACAAGGCGTCAACGCTGAAATAAATAATTCCAAGAATGAATGTGTAAACAAATATAAGAACAAAGTTCTCTTCAAGAAAGGGCAAATGTGTTTGTTATTTTGCCCCTTTCTGGTTTGTGTGTAGTTTATTTTGCCCCTTTCTGGTTTGTGTGTAGTTTTATGTTTATGTGTGAGCATAAAGAAACGAGTGTCTGTGTGCATGATTTTCGCTTAGATGCTTGTTTAATTTATGTATTTGCGGTTTATGTTATACTTAATGAATGTCAGTAGCTCAGAATCTACGGCTTAGAAACAGACCTACAGAATAATTAATGAATAATGAATTCGAAATAATATGGAACAAAGCTATCGTGGTCTAATTAAAGATACTACAACAGAACTTCAGTCAGGACAGCCCATTCCAGAGCCGAGATTTTTACCAGCACAGCACGTAACCACCAGTTCTTGCGTATGCATGCATGCATGTATCTGTAAATACAGGGCAGGTATCTTCCATGCCTGGGGGTGTTGCCATGCACGTTATATGAAAATGAAGTCGTAGTATGTTTTTTTAATTACCAAGCCTCAGATAAACAGCCATTGCTCCGCTGTGACTCGCCGCACGTGTCTCTCGAATATTGGCTACTCGGCAGAAAGCAGTTTTGGTGGCAACTGTACCAACACAGTCATAATAAAGTTATAGACGAATCTCGCCAGCGGTAAATCAGAGCAATTTATACCGTAACATCGTATAAGGGAGGTTTCACGGGAGAAATCTCAGTGTGGGAGGAGAAGAAACCGGAAACGTCTAAATTATTAATGGAGCGAGCAAAGTAAGGACCAGTGGACGGAACACGAAATCCAAGTGACCTAGTTCCTGAATCGGCAGCTGACAGAATATTTTATAATTTTCATCAACGTTTTGGCTTCCAGCGTATCTGCAAAACTCCTACGAAGTTAAAAACTTACGCACAAAAACAAATAAAAGTGACTATCTTACGAGTTGGGCCAAAGAGTATGGTAGAAGTAGACCTGGGGTTTCCACGGCGGTGAGTACGTTTAAGAGGTCCTTGCTGCCTCCATAATCAAGGCCTGCAAGGACCCCTCAAACGTTGGTAAACTTCTATTGGACTACACAGCGCTAAAATCCAGAAGACAGCGATCTTCATAAGGTAGAAATTTACTAACATTTCAGGCTTCCTGCGTCCATCATCAGGGCGATCACCTCCCCG